TGTGGGAAATGAGTCCAAGTGGCTCTTTGAATGTTTCAGGTTGCAGACCCCTGGCATAGATTGTCATGGACGAAAGCTACTCCTGTGCTCGGTGGGAGTCGAATACGCCTTGATGGCACCAAAAGAAGGACACGCTCCAGGGTAGAGATAGGACGAGGGTGATTTTTCAACCTTATGCCGCTAGATGGCGACAAAGCAGAGAATTTCCAGTACTACAGCAGAGGCATCGCTAATACTGGGCAAACGAGAGGCCGAGATGAAACGATCGAGTATTGGTTTGCTAGAGAGAACGTGAAGGAAAGGAGATCAGAGAGACTTCCGGCTCAGCCACGGGAGGATAGTGGCGTCAGCGGAGCTTCTTCTGCTTGAAGGGGTCGAAGCGGCTCCTGGGAGGTGAGTGGAGGGCAGGTCGGAGGAGAAGCCGGGAGCAAATCGTGCCTTTCTTTCTACGGCCTGGAAGCAGCGAAGGGACAAGAATGAAACACGCGGGCTGCTGCTGCTGCTGCTCTATATTCTTTCTCTCCCCAAATGTTATCCTTTTCCTACACGATTTCAATGTCCCAAATCTGATTTTTTTGCTGGGAGATTTGGGACGTTGAAATAAATCTTCATATATTTTTCATACTTCTGAACCACCCACCTCCTTCACCCTTCATGTTACGCTTTGTGATCTTATTGACATGGTGTAATCCTGGCAAGCGAGGCGTTTCATAGGCAAAACGGATGCTTTGAACCTTGCACAACATTTGTTCACCGTGTCCGTCTGTTAGTGTCTCTTCCCCCGCCCTTCCAAAAATCAGATAATGGAGCGAATCCACATCGGAGGCGTTTTGCAGACTGAAATACACATAATTGCTTCCACAGATAAATTCATAGGAGAGTATTTCCCGGTGAATAGGAACCCATATACGGTGCATTCAGAAATTATTCAGACTCTTTCCACTGCTGTCGATTTTGTTGTGCTGTAGCCTCATTTTACACTTCTTGAAATTCATTTTTTCTCATTCATCTATATCCATAATGACAAAGTGAAAACAGAATTTTAGATAATCTCTGTAAATGTACTTAAAACAACAACACTTGAAATACCACATTTGACATAAATAGTCAGGTCCTTCACTCAGTACTTTGCTGAAGCACCTTTGGCAGCGATTACAGCCTCTAAGTCTTTTGGGGTATCAGGCGATAAGCTTTGCACGCCTGGATTGGGGGATTTTCTGCCATTCTTCCATCTCAGTCAGGTTGGATGGCGACCATTGATGGGCAGGCATTTCCAGTCCCCTCCAGAAATGTTCAATAGGGTTCAAGTCAAGGCCCTGGCTGGGCCACTCTAGGACATTCACAGGGTTGTCCTTAAGCCACTCCTGTGTTGTCTTGGCTGTGTGCTTAGGATTGTTGACATGTTGGAAACTGAATCTTAGGCCCAGTCTGAGGTCTTGGGTGCTGTGGAACAGGTTTTTATTGAGGATATCCCTGTATTTTTCTCCATTCAGCTTTCCCTCAACCCTGACTGGTCTCCATCCCTGTTCCTGAAAACACCCCACAGCATGATGCTGCCACCACCATGCTTCAATGGTAGGATGACATTGGGCAAGTGATGAGCAGTGCCTGTTTTCCTCCAGGCGTAACATTTACCGTAGAATTGTGGCCAAACAGTTCAGTCTTGGTTTCATCAGACCAGAAAATCTTGTTCCTCACAGTCTGAGAGTCCTTCAGGTGCTTTTTTTGCAAAACCCAAACGGGTTTTCATGTCTTTTGCATTGAGGAGAGGCTTCTGTTTAGCCAGTCTGCCATTAAAACCTAGATCGGTGAAGGGCTGCAGTGATGGCTGTCCTTCTGGAACTTCTCCCTTCTTCACACAGGATCTCTGGAGTTCAGCCAGAGCCAAGACAACACAGGAGTGGCTTAGGGACAACTCTGTGAATGTCCTAGAATGGCCCAGCCAGAGCCCTGACTTGAATTCTATTGAACATTTCTGGAGGGGACTGAAAATGGCTGTCCACCAACAGTTGCCATCTAACTTGACTGAGTTTGAGGGGACTTACAAGGAACAATGTTAGAAAACACCCCAATCCAGGTGTGCAAAGCTTCTCAACCCAAAAAGATTGGAGGCTGTAATAGATGCTAAGGGTGCTTCAACAAAGTATTGAGTGAAGGGGCTGAATACTTATGCCAACTTGATATTTCATGTTTTTTTTTTCTTTTTAATAAATTTACAGACATTTCTAAAATTCTGTTTTTACTTTGTCATAATGTTAGAGATTAAACTAGAGTTTTGATGTTTGTTTTTAATTGTACTATATGAGGCATTTCTGCTGCTTTCAGATACCGTGCAGCCATTTTGAAACAACCCATTAATATGAATCTTACAGACAAAGAGGATGCCAAGAAGAGCACTCTGAGCAACAGTGAATGAGAAGTAGCATCAATCCAAAGCTTCTACTTCCTCCAGAAATTGTAAAAACACTTTCAGTCAGTGGGAAGAAAAAGGTTCCTTGGATACCCAAAACTGGAAGACATTAACGAAAGCCTTTGTGGAAGGAAAAAAAAGCTTGAATCAAAGAACACCAGGGAAGAGATGAGAAATCTTGTTGGCCTTCTGAAGAATCGAAGAATATCAGTGTTGGGAAATCTCCACAGTCTGCCTATTTTGGGAAAAACAAAGAATGCAGATCACATCTGATTGATTCATAAGTTGAACCACCCCGTGAAAAGCCATACAAATGTTTGGGGTGCATCAGAATCTTTACTCAGAACAGGCCTCTCATGATTTGGGGAAGGACCCATACCAAAGAGAAACTACCAGTGCTCCCATTGTGAAAAAAGATTTAGCATGCACACCAGTCTGGCAATAAACAAGAGGACTCAAACAGGAGAGAAACCATATGAGTGTCCAGATTGTGGGAAAAGGTTCAGTTGGAATTCCTCCCTTTTGGAACACCAGAGGACTCACACAGGAGAGAAACCATATGAGTGTCCAGATTGTGGGAAAAGGTTCAGTCAGAATTCCGACCTGGTGACACACAAGAGAACTCACACAGGAGAGAAACCATATGAATGTCTATATTGTGGGAAAAGTTTCAGTCAGAATTCAAACATGGTGATACACCAGAGGACTCACACGGGAGAAAAACCATATAAGTGTCTGGATTGTGGGAAAAGATTCAATCACAAATCCCACTTGGTGAAACACCAGACCATGCATACAGGAGAGAAACTATACTGTTCAGATTGTGGGAAAGGTTTTAGTTGCAATTCTGACCTGGTGGTACACCAGAGGACTCACACAGGAGAAAAACCGTATGAGTGTCCAGAGTGTGGGAAAAGTTTCAGTCGGAATTCCAACCTTATAGAACACCAGAGGACTCACACAGGAGAGAAACCATATGACTGTCCAGATTGTGGGAAAAGTTTCAAGCGTAATTACCATCTGGAGAGGCATAAGAGTATTCACACGGATGAGAAACCGTATGAGTGTTTGGATTGTGGGAAAAGTTTCAAGTGTAATTCCCATCTGGGGAGACACAAGAGGACTCACACAGGAGAGAAATCGTATGAGTGTCCAGATTGTGGGAAAGATTTCAGTAGTAGGTCTAACCTTATAAGTCATGTAAGGTTGCACATAGGAGAGTAATGTTCAGGTCGTGTACTCTGTTTCGCACAAAATTTCTCCCTTATCACAGAAGAAATTCCACATGAGGAAAAATCTTTAATTTCGTTTGTGGTCTCTTACTGAAAGCCCAGCTGAGAACTCAATAATTTCATTCCTTGCTTGAGTCTTTGTAGTCAATCATGTTTTATTATTAAACATGGGGGAGATCTGAGCTTCCTTAGTTTGGCCTAGTGCCATTGTTCCCTTTCACGGAGTCAAAGGGAATTTCCGTTGCTTGGCCAGAGAAAGTTTGGACCTGTATTAGGCATGATTGTTGCCGTAATTTCTACATATAATACGGGCGATGTAAGTATTGTATATATTTTTACGTCACATGTATATGGTAGCCCAATTCATTATGAGTCTCAAGGAACTTGCAGATGGGTGGCCTTATTGGATTCATTCATTTCTTCTTCCTCTGATTTATTTAAAATGTTTTTGTAGCCACCCATGTTTTAACAAACTCTGGCCGGCTCCTAATCAATAATTGACTTTAAAACTGTATTAAAACCAAATGCATTAAAAATAGAAACCTGGTTTGAATTTACCTTCTGATGTGTGCAGTCCTCTCTTCTTCTCCCAGTGCTTAGGGGCAAAGCTAGTTCTTCTTTGTTTTATTAAAGCAAAAATTAAAGCAAATGAATTTAGCGCAGCACAAACGTGTTACATGGGCAACCTAGGCCAGGGGCTTCCATTACTGTGCACTGCTGCGTTCTGAACAGGGATGAGATCCAACCGGTATAGCTACCGGTTCTATTGCTGTACATCGCGCACATCGCGCGAGTGCAATTTACGACCTGCTGAGGTGCCAGGACAGCTGAGCAGCGCTGCGTGCAAGTGCGCAGCGGTTGAAAAGCCCTTTTCCCCCCTGATTTTTCAACCTCAGCTGTGCCGCGCAAAGCAGCTGAGGTTGAAAAAGCAGGAAATAAAGGACAGGTAAGAGCCCGGGCGGGCGTGTGGGCCAAAACAGCAGCAGACCCAGAACTGGTTCTGTGTCTGCTGCTCTTCAGAACTACCGGTTCTGTAGAGCCGGGCGGAACCGGTAGAATCTCACCCCTAGTTCTGCACCAGTTGAAGTTTCTTCAGGGATTCAAACAGGTGGTGACCAAGGCAAGAGTGACCCCCCCTTTGCAATGCATCTCGGTCCAGGAAAGGGCACAATTGGTCCAC